CATCTTTACTCCATGATATAATTGGTTGCGGTACTCCAGTGGCAGGGCAATCAATGGTGAGGTCAGATTCAGTAAGAACAGTGACGTTGTCACCAATTGTTGCATTGACGGGAGATGTTTCGTGTGGAGGAATGGTACGAGGCTTGTTTGGTCTGGTAATAAAAGGCTTAGATTGTTCTAGAAAGAAAAATCAATTATTGAGTTGAATCATGAATAATATCTCATTTTCTAAAATAATCTGACTTTGCAACAGTATTAAGCAGCAACATTCGTGATCTTGACTGGTGTCCATTAAATACAAGGTGTCCGTGGAATAAAGAATGATTTTACAAGTCATCTATTAAGAAAATTTCGAAACCGTGTATTTATCCGTCCTTTTATTGAAAGGCGTCCGCTTAATAACAGGCCCACTTAAGAGAGGTATGGCTGTATATTTTTCTACTCAACCAGCGACAAAGCAGAAAATCACGCAGCGTTCGCAAGATTCTTGTTTTCTTTGCTCCATGAATGCCTAGTAGGCGAACAAGCACATTCATAACTTACAAGAAGCACGCTTAAATAAATCAAATTATTTCAAGAAAGGACTGCTCTAAAACGCGTGCACACAAATACGTGCCCAATGTATGCAAAATGAAACTGCTCACGTATCCCCGCCTCTAAATTTTTGCATGYATCTGCTGCTCACAAATCTTGCAGCAACATCAGAAGGACAAATTATAGTTTTTCAAATACTAACCTACAACCATCACATGTATACTCTCACTGTCCTCTTCACCAGCGCTTTTAGCAGTACACACATATTTCCCTCTATCGTTTACTGATGCGCTTGAYATTTCCAGTGTACCATTCTCATGAACAGTGTACCGATCATCGGTTTTCAGTTCTACGTTGTCTTTAGTCCAGGTAACTGAAGGTTTGGGGTCACCATCTGCTGTACATTCTATCAGTATCCTAGATCCAATTACTGCTGTGACGTTTTCCCCTACACTTACAGTCACGTGACCATCGTTGGTGGGCTTGACGTTTCGTGGTTCGATCGGTCGATCAATTACAGGTTTGGTCGGTTCTGGAGAAAGATCAAAGAACTTATACCTGCTGTTACTATTTACATATTGCTACCGTTGATTCATAGTACTTTCCTGAAAACCTTTGGGAATTGCGGAGTAAGGGAGGGAGAAATCCGAGAATACGGGGGGAGGGGGAGGGCAAGGGGGTGGGGTGGGGAGGGCAAGGGAGGGTAAAGATGAAGTGAAAATAAACCTAAAAGCAAGACAATCACAGGCAATTGTTGCAGACTTACTTGAAATATTAACTAGAGACGATGCAGTATCAACCCCTCTAGAGTTTYCTGCTTTACACGTGTAGCGCCCTGAATCACTCTCACCAACATTCTCCACGACAAGTGCTCCATTTTCTAATACTTGGTACTTGTCTTCAGATGGTATTGCGTTACCATCCTTGGTCCATGTCACGCTAGGTTCAGGAACGCCGACGGCTTCGCACTTGATTGTTAGATTAGCATTTGGTAAAGTTGTCACGTTATCTCTAACGTTAATGGTCACGTTTTTATTGTGCGTGAAGGGGATGGTCTTGGGTTTCCTTGGAGAGACGATCTCGGCACCTTTCGGTTCTGATATTTAAAGAGAACAACCAGAAGATGTAATATAAGGATTTGTACAGAATGTTATCAAGATGCTATGGAAATATTAAATCGTAACGTCGGGGATGATTGCGCAGTCTCCTGGATCGGATRGTTGGGAATAAATCGTTCGATGCCATTTCTCAGAGGGAGAAAAATATAAAGAACCTGGAAAAATCCCTTGATACACAGGGAAAAAACAAGAATTCGATTCACGGAAGATTGCGGGTGCAGGGACCTAACTCATTGTTATAGTGGTGAAAGATGACGCACTAGCTACTAGGCCTACGCACTTCAATTGTGGTGTAAACTGATATGTATAAGACAGAAATGCACAAAAGTTGGGGTTTTTACGTTAATAGACCTCTTCGGCTCTGACGTGATGTTTTCCCATTCCAGACCACATGTCATTCCCTAGAGTATCATTTCTTTGTTTAAGGTTTGCGCTCGGTTGCACATGAGAAGACACATGAATATGGATACAGCTCAAACAAAGAATCTTATTCTCAAGGGAATGACACGTGGTCTGAAATGGGAAAACATTACCCCCAAGCCGAAGAGGTCTATCAAAAACTATTATTRAATATAAAAGTATAAATAATAAGGACTAAAACCAACACTTACCTTTAACAGTAACACGAGACGTAGCGCTATCAGTCCCCAGGTTATTCTTTGCTGAACATCTATAAACACCATCTCTAGCAACTCCTGTGATGGTCAACGTCCCTTTATCATCGATTGAGTACATACCAACAGATTCTATCTTGAGACCATTTCTTGTCCAGGTTATTATTGGATATGGTATTCCCGTTGCGTTACATTTGATAACAATGGTTTGTGTTAGTAACGCTGTCACGTTATCTCCAATAGTTGTTTTAGCTACGCCGTTATCGATAATCGGGATGTTGTTGTTGGATTTATGAATAACTGGGATGCTTCGCTCTGTGGAATTAGACGATAAGATAAATTATTTGAAGACACAAATATGAGAATTTATTAAAACGATAATTTCACAATAAGCGTTATTTATCTAATCAACGCATGTTTTTCATTTGTGCGTAAGATTTTCGTTTGGACAATATCTTTAAAAAATTAGCTTTTTGTAAAGAAAGAAATAAAACCCAAGGGAAGGGCATATGATCTGAGATGAAAAACAGCACGCACACTATGAAAATTATTTGGATATGACGTAAATCTGCAAGCCGAATGTGTGGTTTGAATAGAAAAATCCAATAATCTGTTTAGCAATTCAACACTTGGATCCACTATTTATAAAAAAATCAATAAAGAATCCTGTTAATCGTAATTCATATTTCAAATGTAATTTTGGCAACGTTAAAATCGAGGCATTGCTGTCCAGCAGTCTCATTCGTATTAGCAGTATCATATCAAGTTTTGCTCCATACATTATTGTCAAAGTTGGAGTTGAGAAAGGTCACTCCATATATGGAATCATATAATTCCATATTTGGATTGCGGGTCTTTACCCTGAGGTCAAAGATGGCGGACAAGCGTGTTCGTCGGCTGGCGAAACGGCTGAGAGACATTTACGAGCTTGGCGAAGACGAAAAACAAGAAAAAACTACAACAAATACGAAAAAAACCCAAGCTTCTCCCCAGTCCATTTTTTTAAGACCGGGAAAGAGAGCTTTAACACTCACTGTTTGATATGGCGGGGCGTCCCTGAATTTATTCGATTTTTTGCGTATTAAAAATTTTTTACCCTGATACATACCGACCACTTCAACGTGGGTTAAAGCCAAGTCCATTCCAAGGAAGCTCTCCACATAGCAAATATATTCCCCTGCATCAGTGGGTCTTATACCATGAAACTTTAGAGTACCATTACAATCGACCTCGATGTTATTATCTGATAATACTGGTTCTTGGTCCTTCAACCAGATTATCTTAGGGCGTGGCACACCTCTGATTGGACAGATGAGGACAACTAGGCTGTTTGTCGGTGCTTTGACGTCTTGCCCGGCTGTGACGTTGATCGGGGTATATCCGGATAGCGCGTTGATGGAACCGCGAGATTTAAAGATGTAAGGTTCTACAGGGTCTGTTGTATTTTGAAAAGGCAATCAGAAATAAAGCAAACTGGTGTTTATTGAATAACAGGTGTGATATAAGAATTTAAAACATGGAATTGAGAATTTGCGAGATCAAATAAAGGTAACCATGTTGGTTGACAAGAACAATACATTCGTTTTACATGAAAAAGAATCTCAGTTTGATTTTTCTGAGTAAAAAAGATTTCATAGTTCTTCCATTCGGCATGTGATCATTCAAAAACTTTATAGCAATAGCCAAAATAGGCCAAAATTTTAAGAAAAACAAATAAATGGCGGATCGTTAAGTCATGCGGTTTTTTAGGAATAGGAAAGAAGATGGTAAAATATAATCAAATCCCATTCCCTCCCCTCCGTTTCACATACAGATCAGCGCAACACTATATCAACAGCATTTCATTCGTAATTTCCTTTATGACTCACCGTGAACCTTGACTGTTGAAGTAGCTGCATCACTGCCTGCATAGTTCTCAGCTACGCACGTGTATCGATCGGTATCAAATACACTAAGATCCCAAATAACCAAAGTATTGCCCTCGATTACGTAATTATCTTCATTACGCATTCTTTCGCCCCCTCTGTACCACGTGATCTCAGGGCGTGGCATCCCCCTGGCTGGGCACACCAGGGTTAGCTTGCGTCCCTTCATCGTGGTTAGATTGTTACCTATCTTGCTTTTGAAAGGGCGGTTTTCGTACCAGATGATGTAATCTGTAGATCTCGTTATCTCGGGACGTGTGGGTTCTAAAGAACAKATAAAAATAGTGTCATCATTATCACCATCATCTTCACTATCATCATTATCAACTAAAATTAGGGAGGTTGCGCGCAACCATGAATGGAAGCGATATTTTTAGCAACACCAAAAACAGACAGTGATGGTGGTGCTGCTATTGTTGGTAATACTAGTGCATGCAGCTATCACCAACGACGACGACAACGACAACAACAGCTAGAACAGAACTAGCAGCAGCAGCATCTACTACTCACTCATGATAATCACTGTAGAAACAGCCGTGTCTTCCCCCAGAACATTACGAGCCAAACACGTGTACTCTCCGCTATCCACAACGCGACTTTTCCGGATCATCAGGTCTCCTCTTTCAGTCAATGTGACTCCATCCCCTGAGACAATCAGCTGACCTGATTTACTCCATTGGATAATAGGATCCGGGCTTCCTGTGGCGGGACATTGTAGGATGACTGTTGTGGACGATAGGGTCTTGATTGTTGTCCCGACTGTAGAGTTCGTCGTACGTGGTTGATCAAGTGCATCGATTAACTCACGTCGAGAATGAATTCGTGGAGATAATGGCTCTATAGAATGTGAATAAACATTTAGGAGTTAAGATAATGATCAGCCCAGGGGTCGTATCGATAAAATTTGAAGCCTTTTTTGTATGTGACAGGCAAACAAAGGAATGTCTAATGCTTTGATCTTTGATGAATGTCTAGTGCGGTTCAAATAAATTCTAAATTCAGGGCGCTTATTAAATATATTTAGTGCGCTTCTTAGATTGCGCAATCCATCAAGTTTTAGTGTTGGTTTGGCGCACCTAATCATGAGCGCATTATATAGTGCAGCTACGTTGAAGACATAGAAAACGCGCGCGCGTGCTATGTTGTGGCTACAAAGCAATTCGGGATTACTAAAACACTCGAGAAGTATTGAGAGACATATTATTTTAGATAGGAATAACAAGATGCAAAGTGAGCCCTCGTGCTGTATGCTCGCATAAAGCAGGCGCCCCCACCAATCAGAAAGCAAGATTTATAAGAGGTATTTTATAATAGGTGTTAGCAATACATACCGACAGCCATGATACTAGAGGTGGCACTGTCATCCCCTTCACTGTTCATAGCTACACAGGTAAACCTCCCAGCATCGGACTTCCCATTTATTCTGACTTTCAAAGTACCATTGACCGATTTACCATTTTTAATCCTTCTTTCTTCTTTATTCCAGATAATTGTGGGGGTAGGTAATCCAATTGCTGAACACGTTATGTCTAAGACCGTGCCGTATAAAACCGTTATGTTATCCCGGATGGTAACAGAGACTCGAGTCTTGTTGGTCAGCGGAATCACCCTGCCAACGGGTGGAGCTACTATTCTTGGTTTTACTGGTTCTGTTAAGAAATAGTTAATAGATAATAAAGTACGTTTTGTTCATGGTTCCGTAAGGACAGGTGGAAATCAGAAAACGAAGTAAAACAAATGGAAAAGAAGACGAAGAGAGAGGGAGAATGGCCTAAGAACTGAAAGATGTGGGTAGGCGTTGGAGAGTTTGAAGGAATTAAGGAAGTAAAGTACAGCAAGAGTAATCCCATTACTGCAAGCAGCTATCCCTCTTCTTTTTCTTATCCTCCCTTCAAAGACAAACCTGAAAAGGCGAGAAAAAACTAGGCCAGGAAAAAACGAACGGAAAAAAAATGTAAAAGAGGACGAGCATCATGGGAACAGCTAGAACATTAATAGGCAACCCTGTCCTTGAGAGATTACAAATTTATTACCTGCAACAGACAGAACAGAGGAAGCAGCATCACCCCCAATAGGACTAATAGCAGTGCACGTGTATTCCCCACTACTTGCAACCGTTGTGGTAGCAAACACAAGCGTCGAGTTGTTGTTTGTTGGGTACAAAAAACGACCTCCATTACTCCATGACACAGAAGGTTTTGGAATCCCTTGAACAGGACATGTGATCGATACTGGAGTGCCTGCGATTACGATGATTCTATTGCCAATGGTTGCGACAACGGGTGATCGGTCTTCTGTTCGGACGATTTTATTGRAAGTCATAATGACAGGTTCTTGTGGATCTGTATCAATAATAGAACAGATGGTTACAATCTAAAAATTTCACCCAAAGACAAATGGCCAGAGCACTTCTCATATAATCTTTTGCTGAGGTTATTTTGAAAGAGGAGCATGCGTCTGTCTAAATAATGGCGAATTTAGGGCTAAGTCCATTAGGTAACAGTGCATCCCCACTCGATAAATCACTCATAAATGATAAATGATACGAAGAAGAAGAGAAGAGATTGAAAGTTCAAGTTACATAAATAGCTAATAATAGGGACCTTAAGCTGCAGGACGGCAACGTGGGCGACAACGTCGGCGAAATTGAAGCACTTCAACCTTCTATTGTATTATTATTTCGTGTTTACCTAGTATTTTACTCAATAAGCATCCCCGTTTTAGAGTGAAATGTTGTCTTTTGGGAGCGCTTTACTTATAACGAAAATCAGTAAAGATAAGCTTTTGGCGTAGTCGTTCTCTTTAGTACGTAAAAATAGGACATTTCACGTCTTACTTTCAGCACAAGACGGCAATGATGCATAGTATTTCTTACATTCCAACGAGTATCTATTGCATAGCGCAATTAGTGCTATTGTATGTTTGCCGTCGTCGTCGTCGTTGCCGTCCTGCAGCTTAAGGTCCCTAATAAGAGCTTTGCACCATCACGTGATGGCAGCCATGACAGGGGCATAACAATAGAGTCTTTTCCCCCCTGGGAAATTGAATCCTTTCATGTGTCAAACAGATTAGACCAAAATCAATTGTTCCTACCCCCTGTCATGGCTGCCATCACGTGATGGTGCAAAGCTCTTATTAGCCTCTATTGACTCCTACTCAGCAACGAATCTAAAATATAGGCTTGGTAGTGGTTGAAACGATGAAGCTGGACTTGATGATCCAATCCGCCTCCGCCCACTCACTCCTCCCCCCTCCCCCCCTAGCCAGACCAGACCCAAGCATTACAACCGGGACTTGAGGTAGAGTTTGCGCTTCCAAAAAAGCTTAACAAAAAACAAAAAAGTCTTACCAATGACATTCAATTCAGTTGCCGACTTCACTGTTCCTGCAAGGTTTTCAGCAAAGCAGATATACGATCCACTATCTCCTGGCTGAACAGCAAATATCACTAGACTTTGATTTTCTAGCTTATATTGGCCATCAGTCTCGAGTATATTGACCTCATCGTCGCGTCTCCAAACCACTGCTGCTTCTGGGAACCCTATGGCGTTACATGTCAGGGTTACCTGGGTACCAGTAAGAGCTGTGATTTTTCCTCCAATGGGAGAAGATAATGGTATTCTATCATACCACGTGATATTCTCGTCTGTTGATTCAATTCTAGGCAGGATTGGCTCTGAAAGGAAGAAAAAAGGTTTCATTGCGCACTTTTCAGTTACTTTGCGCACTTTTTAAAACCATTGGTTTTCCCCACTTTGTTCCTGGCAGAACCACACATGTGAGTTGAGTTTGTTTGATGAGTTGTTCTCTCCCTTACCACGAGGGTTTTTCACTAGGTTCTCCGGTTTTCCTCCTTCCGTAAAAATCAATATGTGAGTTGAGTGTTGTATGTTGTAAATATAGAATGTAGTGGTAGTGCGTCTATAGCGAACATCACGGAAGAGCCCTATAAGGAGAGCGATGGTTGGAAAAAAAAAATACTATGTACTTATTGACTGAGTGGGAGGGCCGTACGGGAAAATATTTGGCTCGAGGTCATGTCGTACGGACCGAGCGCAGCGAGGTCCGTACAAATGACCTCGAGCCAAATATTTTCCCGTACGGCCCGACCTAACTCAGTCAATAAGCATTTTATCATATGACCCTCATGAAAATAAAAATAATTAAGAAAAAGAAAGCGCGCGGATTCGAGCAGGGCCGGACGGGTTTTTCCGGCCCGCTTACGTCAACCCGTCCGGCCCCCATCACGTGACTTTTTCCAATGGTTTTATTAGAGCGCGCGAGCAGGGCCGTACGGGTCATATGATAAATATATATATTTCAATTTATCAATGTCATTCGCGCCTTGTTTGCGCCTTACGGCTTTATTACTGCGATTTTCGATATTCTGCGAACGCGGTAACAATCAGTTGCTACCTTTCTTAATTTTGACTGGCGGCAGTAAGACCCATTTTACAACAAGCCGTTGAAATGTCTGAGTTCGCAGAATATCGAAAACCGCAGTAAGTCATCAATCATTTCCTCAGCACATGGTTTAGCGACTCACCTTGTACAAGTATAGGCGCACTAGCCTCGTCCGTCCCCGCTTTATTCTTAGCCTTACAACCGTACATTCCTGCGTCATTCAGGACAAGGTTTCTGATCGTCAACTGCCTGCCTTCCAGAGATATTTCCAGATCATTAGAAGAGACGATTGGGTTTCCTTTCTTGGTCCAAGCGTAGGTGGGCATAGGAATTCCAGAGGCAGCGCAGCTAATTGTGATAGGGGTCTGTGTAAGGGTCTTGAGGGTGTTGCCTATCGTCATGGCAACGGGGGTTCTGTTATATACTTCGATCACACTTAGATCTTGGAAAATCACTGGCTTTTCAGGAGCTAAATAAAAAAGGTCTCATTATTTTTAAATCATACGAAATGGTAAGAGTAATGAGCGCCATAGATTTCTTTCTTTATCCGGTATATTTTTGGATTGAGTCAAGTATACGAAAAACTATTATGTAAAACTACGAAGTCAGTAAAATATCATAAACGTTTTTTACATTACCACGTGGCGGCAGTTTTAATGGGAAGGAGATTCAACTATTTTATTGTTCTGCCACCCAACTAATTTTCCTTCAATAAGATGCTACTGAGATAAATTGGATGTTACTTGGATGTGACTGGAATGGATTGGTTATGACTGAAATGGATCGCAAGTGAGTGGGCCACAGTTAGTGACTGGATCTTGAATCACCCAAAATGTTTTTTTTGAATTTTCACCTTTTGAAAGACCATGGATAATCTTAATGTATAGCAAAAACAGGCCCAACTTCTAAAACTTGTTTTCCTCTTCTAAATGCCCGAATTTTGAGTGTTTTTTAATTTTGGAAAATCCGGAACCGTACATAGATGGAATGGACTGGACTTCGGTTGACTGGATCGTATGGATCGTAGATGTCTTTTTACACCGAATTTGCACCTTTTATCATACGTTTTTTATTTTAGTGTTCATAACTAGATATTCTATTCCAAAATTTTGCTCACAAAAAAATGAAATTTTTTGTTTTTGTTTTGGGATTGTGGCACTAGTTGAAGTCCTGTGAAGCCGGTCAGCAGCGAAGCTTTTCCAAAGGACTCTATACATCATGTGTCTAYAGGTGACTCTGTGGATTGCTACAAATTTTACAACTAATTTTCCTTCATTAAGATGCTACTGAGATAAATTGAATGTTACTTGGATGTGACTGAAATGGATCGCAAGTGACTGGGTCTCAGTCAGTGTCTGGATCTTGAATCACCAAAAAAAMWTTTTTTCTGAATTTTCACCATTTGAAAGGCAACGGATAATCTTAATGTATAGCAAAAACATGCCCAACTTCTTAAACTTGTTTTCTTCTTCTAAATTCCCGAATTTTGAGTGTTTTTTAATTTTGGAAAACACATAATAACAAMAATTGAACATTTTCGAGTTCCAAATAGGCCATTTCACGGATCCCGTTACTCAACCTCAGCCTCGTCAGCGTGTAATTATTCTTTAGAATTTGACTACAGTCCGCAGTAATGAAAGGAATTTACACATCAACGAACAATTGGAACACTTAAMAATTTTACAGGTTGTAGGCAATTTCTAAAGAATATATTACACGCTGACGAGGCTGAGGTTCAGTAACGGGATCCGTRAAATGGTCTATTACCGCTGTGTTCCTTGATTACAGACTCATTAACTAAGAGTTAGCCTCGAGTCAGTGTCTAAATATTCACAGATACCAACGGTAAAGTAAATAAGGCGCAACTTCAACAATATAAACACTTTGAAATTCCACCGACCTTCCTTGGAACACATGAATATTCTGCACAAAGTAGAGGCTAACCCTGAGCAACAGAGAATTCGAAACTGGACTATTCACTTACGGACAAACTTCACAAATGAGGTTTTCTTATCTGAACCAGCCCCGTTGGTCGCCAAACATTCATATTCCYCGGTATCAGACCACGTGGCGCCATAGATCTTAAGAGTGTTGTTCGAGGCTTTGATAGGAAACTTTGAGTTGATGATAATTCCCGACTTGAACCACTGTATTTCTGGTGGTGGGTTCCCTGTGGCGTTACACTGGATAGTAATAGTTGTGCCAATGAGGGTTTTGAGGCTGTCTCCAATAGTAATTTCCAAGTCTGTTTTTTCGTAGTCTTCGATTTCTCGCTTGGAGAATCTAATTGCGGGTCTTTCAGCGTCTAAAAAGAAATAACTATGTATAATTAACAATACATTTAGCAAAAAAAAAAAAAACTCGCGCAACGGTCGTACAAGCGCAAGAAAATTTGGGCATTCTATTAGGTAACAGAAACACTAATACTATTGATTTCTTCCCACTCAAAGAAGATCACTTATATGATTTATATCATCACTATAAGATCCTAGCTCTTCTCATGAACTACATTTTTGTATTACGACTATGATTTCGTTTGCGCAGACGCCAAAAAAGTCAATGAGATAAACTTTATATTTAGTTAGACGACGGTGAAACGTCATGTTCCAACAAAGTGTGGCTGCGCGTTTTTGTCGATAACTCATAAATACCACCAGACTCACCAAATATAGTAAGATGAGTAGTCTCGGAAAAAAAATCATTAAGATGAGCTATATTTAGTTAGACGACGGTGAAACGTCATGTTCCAATATAGAGTGTGGCAGTTGGTTTTTGGCCATAACTTATATATAACACCAGACTCACCAAATATAGTAAGATGAGTAGTCTCGGAAACTTGACCAAAAGTATTGTTCGCAAAACACGTATAAAATCCATTGTCATCCTGTGTAACGCCAAGAAGGGTGAGCGCATTGGTTTCTCTGTTGAACAACCTTACTGATTTGGCTTCTACTACAGACCCGTTCTTTAGCCAGGTTATGGAAGGTGTTGGTTTTCCTGTCACGGAACAGCGGATTTCAACTCCTGTTCCTACGATAGTCGTGACGTTACCTCCAACATCCACGGACACTTCGTTTTCTCCTTCCGTTGCTATGATGTTGGTTTTGGGAGTAACGATTTCTGGTTTCCTTCCGGCTTAAATTAAAAAAAGAAGGAATCAAATATTAGTATTGTAGTCTATATTAGAGTGAATACCATATATCTGTGAAAAACGTTCTAAGAAATTGAATTGCACAAATTTGCTCAAATTAGTATGTTTAGTAGACCTCAGTAGACCGTAGACCTACGAATATTTGCACTAATTTGTACAATTTTATTAGTTAACTCTTTCACGGATATTTGGTATGCATATTCCGAATTAATCGAATTCATTCATCCACTTGCAATGTTATGTGTCGTCTAGGTTAGAGATATRTTTTATATCACTGCACATGCGCAAAATTATAGGTATAGGCCAGGATTTGCGCATGAGCTCGAAACGATGAGTGGCAGATTCGGTCAATATTAACCCATGTATATCTTACCTATTACAAAGATGTTCGACGTCTCGCTCACCTCACCAGCCAAGTTATTAGCAACACAAGTATAAGCACCACTGTCAGATATCTTGAGGGAGGGGACTGTATAGGTCGACCCTCCCTCTTGAGCCAATAGATTGTTTCTCTTCCACGTGATGCTAGGTGTTGGTAGCCCGCTAACATTACAGGTCAGCGTCAGTCGGTTTCCTGGTATTGACGTCACTCTAGTACCGACAGTCGTATCAATGGACTCGCTTTCAGTGACTTTGAGGATACTGAACTTGTACAGAATATTGGGTACCACGGGATCTGCACAGACAGAAAGAAATAGTAAACATAAAAATCCAAGGATTCATTTCTTCTTGTCATCATCATAAGAGACTACGTAAATTACGTAATGAGCAAGCACGAATTCTATYGTACATTTTGATTGAAAAATCTTGTTTACGTGACTAAAATTTAAAAAAATTTWAAAATGTAGTTTTTCATAGTTTTGTACTAGTTATTCCACTTTTTAAGGTAAAATACAAAACTGCACACAATTAGCTAGCTGTAACTGATAAAAGATCTCACTCTGAGTTTATCTTGAATAGTTAAAACATGCAAAATGTATTATCCTTGTCGTTCTAATTCTTGTGGCTTTCCAGGTGACTAAAATAATCGAAATAAGTATATTTACTTACCAAGGACATTTAAGTTAGAGCCAATGGATAACTTTCCCATAACGTTCTCCACCGAACAGATATACCGTCCAGAATCACTCTTCACCACTTTCCTAATACTCAAAACCTTTGAAGAAACATTCACTCGATYGCCCGATGTCAGTGATACTTTCCCTCGTTTCCATGTAACTTCGGGAAGCGGGACACCACCCGAGGGACATGTGATGGAAATATTAGTGCCAGAAAGGACAGTCAGGTTGTGACCTATGGAAACTATGGCTGGTTTGCGGGACTTGAGGCTTGTTTCGACTCCACGACTACTGTTTATATACGGGTGAATTAGACCTGTGGATAAATGGGAATCAGTGGACCATTACGGCGGCCATCTTGGATTATAGGCATTATGGGTGTCCAGGGGTCATTACATAACAGCTCACCACAAGCAAATAAAACAAGATGCATCCATACTTTGACTCATAAATGAAAGACAAACACACGAAACTCTATATATTTTCTGTCATCTTTGTTTTGTTTGGCCCCCTGGCAAGATGGCCGTCGTATAGTTGAAGCAGTGCATTAGTACAAAATTATATGCGCAATGTAACATCAGTATCAAAGGAGTTCGAGCGATTAATCAAATGGATGTTAAACACCATCTCTGATAAATTAAAAGCGTTCATCTGGAAAAGGAATTTTTAAAAATATATAACTTAATAATAATAACAATAAACATTAAATATAAAAATTTTCCTTGATTAAAAAAAATCAAATTCGCGTGGTAAATTTTCTATTGAATATGATAAATTATAGTTGAGTTTTGCCTGAATGCAAACTGCGCAGATAAGGTGCGTATTAAAAAGTTTCTCTTTTAATAAAGAGCAGAACAATTCCTGCCATAAAAAATGTCATAAAATTCATTACATCGTTAAAACGAAATACTCCTGAATTCTTTCGTTACCTTTAACATTGAGAACAGTTGAAGCAGATGCCGTCCCAAGAGAATTCTTCGCAACACATTTATGAATGCCAGCTTTCCTCAAAGCCAGGCTAATGAACATAAGAGTTCCCGTTTTAGTATTCACCATGTGGGTCGCTGAATTGATTGGAATCTCATATCCATCTTTGTACCACGTGACTTCCGGTTTAGGGAAACCGCTGGCCTCGCACATGATTTCCACGTTTGAGCTCAACAAAGTGTTGACGACACCGCCCACTTTGGTAACGATGTATTGAATGCGATTGAGTTCGGAGATTGTTTTYTTGGAAGTGACAATAGATGGAACTCTTCCCTCTGGAATAAAAATGAAAACAGAGAGATTATTGTGATTGTGACGTCGCCTTTCGCGGGACTGCGCGACGATCAAACCGGACTGGAACCATGGGCGAAAATAAAGATTTTGTGTCACTTTGTTACAAATTTCCAATAGGGTATGTTCATGTTTGTCAGAGCCACCATCTTGGTTGACGATAACAAAGCATTCCTCGTGATCATTAGTTTTTCTTCTTAGATTAACCAACACTGGCGGTTGTTTCATTGTTTCTCAAGAGCTTTTGAGTCACATGGTTACCAAACTGTATTACAACTTATGGCACATTTCATACTATTTCTTAAAAAGTTTGTTTAGTCTTTCTAAATCGCTCCTAGATGCGACCTCCACCTACTTGCGCAACCTTCAGCTACGCGGCGCAAAACAAGAGCAATTTGAAAGTTTAAAAACAAAATAACTTACTAACTTTATTTACAGTGTTGCAGTAAGTAAAATAGCGCGCAAAATTACTAGAGGTGCCTTACCTAATATGTTGATATTTGTATCGACTTTAATCCTCCCGGCTAGATTTATAGCAGCACACGAGTAGATACCCGTATCTCGTGGACTTGCAGGGCTGAATATAAGAACATTGGCCTTGTTGTTAATCTTGATGTTATCCTTGTACCATTCAAGGTTAGGTGTAGGAACGCCGGAAGCATTGCATATCAGTTTGATGGTGTTGTCAGAAAGTGTCGTCAGGGATCCACCCACGTCACTTTCCACTGGTTCTGGACGGAGGATGTTTAGGGTCTGAGTGGTGGTTTTGATGGTTGGCGCCTTTGGTGCTGTGTTGAAAGACGGGAAATTTTAGAAGTTGATACTAYCAATCACACTGCGCTACACTTGATTTCACTTGATGTCATTTCCTGATTTGTGCGAAATATTCATGAGCTGAATCAGGATCGTTGAGTGTGACGTCATATGTATGGAAAAGTGACAAAAGTCAGCTAGCCTTTAGTACTTACCAATTATCGTCACGTTCGAGCTCCTAAAGTCATAGCCCTTCAAATTCGTTGCCGTGCATGTGTAGATTCCACTATCAGACACAGTTGCCTTGGTGATGGTGTAAGTCTTGTTGCCCCTGGCAACATCCAGGGTCTTGATACCTTTCTTCCAAGTGATGGTTGGTGCAGGAAAACCTTTAGCATCACATGTCAGCGTGATGTTGCTTTTTTCCAGTGTCTTGATGTAGCTGCCTACCTCTGTTGTTATGGTGATGGGACGTAGCTGTTGGAGCTTTCGTTGGTCCGTGGCGGAAATTTCTGGTACAGATGGCTCTTGAAATCAAATGATAAATCAAGTTAGCGAAACATACTTTGAAAAAAAACTTTTATGGAGAAGTACAGTGTCAAGGTTTGCTCGCTCTTATCAATTGGGAGCCCTGTGGTGCGCTGCTGTATCAACGTTTAATAGTAAGGCTGTGTTTTCTGTTAATCAAGCCTGATTTTGAAAGCCTCCGGTGCAACCTCTTGTACCAACTAGGACGCCATTCCGACAAGGACACATAATTCCTGGCCGGCAGTCCAGGTAAAATATGTTTTGTGACTCTTCAAGGTCTTTTTTTTTTTCAAAAAAAAATAATTAATAAATAAATCAACTCGATTTTTTGCAAAATTTTATTAAAAAATTACTAGTTATGAATATTGAAATAAAAATCAWAGGATAAAAGTTGCAAATTAGGCGAAAAAAACTTTTTGCGATCCGAAGTTAAATTTGACCGAAAGTCCAGTCCAATCCACTTATACGCGGTTCTGGATTTTCCAAAATCAAAAATCTCTCAAAATTCAAAATTTAGAAGCACAAATCAAATTTTAAAGGTTGGGTTTGTTTTTGCTTTACATTAAGATTATCTATACTCTTTAAAAACCTAAAAATTATAAGAATTTTTTTTCSCGATCCACCGACCTTTCGAGTAGGTATCAGTTCCGATCCCTCAGACTGCACGATCTAAACGAAAGTTTGACATACCTCTAATATCAAGTTTCGACACCACAGTTTTCTTCCCTGCAACATTCTTTGCTTCACAAACATAAAAACCAGTATCTGCTGTAAGTGCATCAGCAACGTATATAATCGGTCCGTTGGCAAATGTTCGTCCGTCTATTGGTAGTTCAACACCGTTTTTTCTCCAGATTATCTCAGGTTTTGGGAGCCCTTCTACTTCACAGGTGATGTTGAATTTGATACGGGTCAAGGTGCGTACGGTCTCGCCGATGATGATACCCAAGGGTTTACGTGTGAGGGACTCGATGGATTTGTTGGAGGACTTAATAGTTGGTGGAATAGGCTCTGAGTATGGAAAATAATATGTTAATAGTTAAACAAATACTGATTCTTACTAAGACTAATAATACTAAGACTATCAAAAGCAAACAGAATCTGCTGCTGCTGCTGCTGCTGCTGCTGCTACTACTACTCGTACTACTGCCAATTCCACTGTCACTCCTACTGCTCCTGCACTGCCACTACCAGTGTTACTGTTGCTATTGCTGCTGCTACTGCTCCAGCTGCTTATATGGTTAGTGCTATTTTAAAATACCTTACCTTTTATTACAAGTACCGAGCTAGCTAAAACAGCTCCAGCATCACTACCAGCCGTACACGTATAAACGCCTTGATCATCAAGTGTCGCCTTCTGAATTTTAAGCGTCTCTTTTCCAATAATCACGTTTCCTTTTGAAACCATTTTCACTCCATTTCGTGTCCAAGAAGTCTTGGGTTGGGGGAGACCGCTGGCTTTACATTGGATAGTAATAGTTGCATTGACAAGAGCTGTCAAGTTATCGCCAATAGTGATTGGGATTGGTGTTAGGGATTTTAATCCATCTATTGACTTGCTGGACTTTATAATGGTTGGTCCATATGGAACTAAAAATAAAGGCAAAGGTAAAAGTTAAGTTCATCTAATTTTCATCGCTGTTTTCTTGCAGTTAACAATGAAACAGCCGCCATGTTGGATGATCTAACAAGAGAAGCTATTGAGGAATGCTTTGTTATCGTCARCGCGGGCAACATGGCGGCTATGACGTAACATGTATCCCAAGAATAGTGCCGCGTCTAGTGCCTTTTTACACTCATCCATGACCCTGATGTTTGAGAAATGTCCGCTGCGATTGGCTCAAAAAATGTCATCAATTCCATACCGTGACCGTGGCGAGTCTACTCTGTCACACCCTATAACAGCTACCAACTCACCAATCATATTAAGAATACTGGTTTTCTGGTCTCCACCTCGATTGTTTCTTGCACTACACGTAAAACCACCTGAGTCCTCACTCCTCAGATTTCTAATCCTCAAAGCATTAGTAATGGGATTGACAGTATATCGTCTGTCACTTCCTAAAGGTGCACCCGCCCGAGACCACGTGGCAAGAGGTTCAGGAATGCCTTCTGTTGGACAGAAGATTGTCAGGTCTGATCCTGTCAGTGCTGTGATGTTATCACCAACATAAGACGTGATGTTGACAAAGCCAYCGAGGAACGAAAGTTGCCTGCCTACTGTGGTAATCCTTGCCTTTTCGCCACCTAAAAATACACAACCATGTTATATGAACAGGAAAGCAGTAGCAAAGAAATTACTTATTATTYGACTCAAAGATCAAATATGTGCCCCTCTGCATAAATGAACTACCGCTGGACAGAAAATTTCAATCGCATGACTACATCGTTTTGATTGCAAGTCGATGTAGAAAAAAAAAAGGTAAGTACTAATGTAAATTTATACAAATTAAAGCTGTAAGTTAAACCCTGGCTCTCTCGCTCTAGTACTTCCCGGTCGTTGACCTACTCATAAAAACGAACCGAGAGGTACTGGAATRAGGCCTCTAAAGCCCTGGGTAGTAAATTCATTAAAATAGACCTTTTTAGCTTCGTATGTATATTGCCCATTTCTGAGSACGTGAAATTTCCTTGAGAATTGTTCTTTTGTGACGAACATGTTAATATAGTTACACATGAAAGAATCAACTCCCAAGAGTGGTATCGCATGTTCTGAAATGTGGACTGCAAACAACGAAGCTAAACAGATCTACTGAAAAAGCGATAAAGTTCATAGATATTTCTGTCTTACTGTGAATGGTGAGACGAGTTTCTGCGGTATCATTTCCCATGGCGCTTGACGCAACACATHCATACAATCCACTGTCCTCACTCCCTCCATTCAGTATGACAAGCTGGCTGTCACCRACAGTCACGTGGCCTTTGCTCTTCAAGGGCTTGTCTCCAAGTGTCCAAGAGATGATAGGATATGGTAGACCAACAGCTTTGCAGTTGATGGTAATGGAAACACCTGCCAATACTCTTGCTGTTGCTCCCACTCGGATTGTCACAGGAGCCTGGCTGTCCAATACGTTGATTCTTTGTTGGGATTTGTCGATCCTTGGTTTAAATGGCTCTATAATTATCAAGAAGACTGCGTCAGTGGACAAATAGGTATCAGTATTTTTATGAGACGATAGTGCGTTGTCCATATTTATGTATAACTATTCCAGTTAACGGTATCGGAGGTGTTGAGRCCAAATGAGAAAAAGAAGATGGGTCAATCCACATGGATCTTATAAAGTACACAGTGGAAATAGGCACATACAAGTGCTGAAAGTAGCTTCGCCGGCTGCTAAAAGTTCTAAATATCCCAACATTAAATTAGGAAAAGAATCGAATGTTAAACATTTCACAGGGAGCCTGAGCTCGATTTTTGTGCAAATACTGAAGGTTTTCAACCACTCCCAAGAGAATTAAATAACAAAAGACACGGCGGCCATGTTGGAGGACATAACAAAAGAATTCATTGACAATTATTTTGTTAAGTTCCTCCAACATGGCCGCCATGAAAACTATCAATATCAGCTGCATCCTTCGCAACCACTACTGAGCAACCTCTATTTCCAAATTATTCTTGATATGAGATCCATTCGATACTATAATCATAGACTCACCGATAACATTAAGGGCGCTCRATGCCCTAGCTTCACCAAGAATATTCTTTGCAACACAGGTAAACTCCCCAAAATCTCCGCTGACCAGCTTGGGTATGGTGACAAAATTTTGAGTATTGTCAAAAAACATTCGATTCTTGTTGGATTTTCTTTTGATAKTCCACGTCACTACAGGTCTAGGGATTCCTCTAACGGGACAGATTATCCTGATCCCTGATCCTGCCAGAATTGAGATGGAGCTACCGATAGTYGATGTAAGCTTCGTGAAGCCAGCTAAAGACGACTCGACTTCATCACTGCTTGATATGATGGGCTTTTGACCAGCTACGATAAGAAACATAACGATATTATTGATTATACGTTTGGTCAAGTTTGAAATAAAGAATTTTTCAAAATTTAGGGAATGGTGGGTTTTATTGATGTCATTTCCAGTCAATATTTGACTACGTCTGGAGCAGATAATGAGATCAGCTGATTGAAATCCAGCAATGGGGAAAGGAGGAGGGGGAGGGAAGGAAAAGAATTCCCTTACAAAGACATTTCTATAACTCCAAGCGTTTTCAATACCGGAAAGTTGCTAGCTTCAGGTGTACCTATCTAGAGTGCAAGCGTATAGAGCAGGATTTTCTGTTTGGGACATTGCTACGCTTGGACATTTTGTTACAAAGACAGTTGTCTTCCCAAGTTACATAAAGCTTTGATAGTTCAATGTATCTCTCCGTTTCCTTGACAACATAGAACATCTAGTTACTAGGCTACTCACCAATTACCGTGAGATGTGACCTCACTTTGCGCTCCCCAGCGACGCTTTTTGCTTTACATTCATACACTCCGCCATCAGAAAAACGAGCACGAGTGATAATAAGCTTTGACCCTCGTACTGTCACGTGATCTATGATAATAATCTTTCCATCTTTTCTCCATGACGTCACAGGCACAGGGAACCCATCAGTTATACAGTCAATGGTGATGTTGGTGGTAGAAAGTGCTGTAAGGTTTGAACCGATCTTCATTTCTATTGGGTTTATGCTGCTGATTAGATTAAGAACTCTGGTAGACGAGTCGATGAATGGTCCTCGGAGCTCTGCAAGGTTAAATATTRAATGCTTTAGAAGAAGAAAAAGGTGTTCAAAAACCAGGAGGAGCATTAATCAATTAATGGTATCGCGTCTGACTTTATACATTTTCAATAGAAAGGTCGTACTTGGCACGTAACACAAAATCGTATGACTAGTGACTACGATCAAAAGAAAACGAAAGAAAACAATGGAATTAGTGTCTACTACTATATATTATGCTTGCTATTTTTTCAAAAGTAAAATCACTCAAAACATCCAATCTATTCTGAGGCTCGAGTCAAACGTCGATGAGCCAAACCTAATTGAAACAATRGATGACAAGGCGGCCTTCTTCGATGTCATTAGGTTCGGCTCATGTGAAGTTCGAAGTCTCATCCTAGTTTAATGACTTGGCTTATGAGCCATGGGTGGTGGTAAGAAATTACCGTCCTTATGTTTAACAAACCTTTCACTTCAATGACAGTAGAAGCAGTGTCCATCCCTACAAGGTTGGTCGCTTTACAAGAATAGGTTCCAGCGTCTCCTCTTCCTACTTTCACAATCTTCACGACGCCACCATCAATAGTCACGTGACCTTCTGACGTCACAGGAATGTTAGCTAGAGTCCAGTCTACCTCCGGTTTAGGTAGTCCAGTTGCCTTACATACGAGTGATACAGACGTTCCCTCTAGTATTGTGATCTTGTTTCCGACTAGTGAATATACTTGATTCTGATTGGTTAGTTGGATAATAGCAGTTCTGGAAGAGTTGATACGTGGGGAAATGGGTTCTAAAAACAAGATGTGGGATTGCTGGGTTAGAAGTGTTGCCGATTAGATAAATAAAAAATATATTTTACAACGGTTTTGCTTTCGTGTTTCACTGTGTATACTTACGAATAATAGTAACGTCAGTAGACGCGCTTACAGCTCCCAGGGGATTAACCGCTGTACAAGTTATAGTCCGTTTGGCACTTCCACGCTGTAGCTTAGGGATAGTCAGGGTATTTTTAGCACGATCAATAACAACATTCTTGCCGGGTATAGCATTCCGTCCATCGATTTTCCACGCTATTGCAGGTGGCGGTAATCCTTTTAATGGACAGCTGAGACTAAGACCTGCGCCAGCCAAAATAGATACAGAGCTACCGATGGTGGTTGAAGTGGTTGAGAAGTCTGAATGTTCAGTAATGATGTCATCACTACTGGCGATTGAAGGCCGTTGACCAGCTGCAGGAAAAAAGACCGCTGTGTTAATTGACTGCAGACACAGAAGTATCAAGAATATATCCATTTTTTCAAAAAGATTCAGCAATAGCCAAGTCAAAAATGTACAACATTAAATTATGATGATAGGAATAATGTTATTTTGACAACTTACCATTTAATGAAATCTGTGACTTTATTGTTAGATTTCCAGCGGCACTTTTCGCCGTGCATGCGTAAACACCGCCGTCGTCAATTTGTGTTTTTAGTATAGTCAGTGTTGTACCCTTTACTGTAACTCGATTACCCCTTATGACCTCATCATTATGACTCCATAACGTAACCGGAACCGGAAGTCCAGTCACTTGACATACTATGTTTATGGTAGTGTTAACCAATGCATGTGCATTTGTTCCTATTCGGATTCTTATTGGTTTGACGCTGTTGGTAGTGTTGATGGATAACTTGGATGACTGGATAAAAGGACCGCGAAGAGCTGAAATAATAGTGGAATTCATATCTGTTACTTTATGCTTACTTTTTAAAATAATTAAAGGAGATTGGTGGACTCGTAGAGGTCAAATGATCTCCTATACTCCATGCTAGAACTGTCAACATGCAGTTAATGACTTGAAATAGAAGGAAGAGAGAAAGAAAATAAGAAAGGAAGAAATAAAAAAAGGGAGGAAAGGAGGGAGGGATGAAATACGCATGAAAATAAGGAAGAGTRTTACATTCTATAGGAGCCATGGTACAGACGGAAGGAAGGAAGAAAGCAAGRAAGAAAGCAAGCAAGGGAGGAAGAGAGGGAGGGAGGGGAGAGGAAGCAAGCAAGGAAGCAAGAAAGGGAAGGAGGGAGGGGAGAGGAAGCAAGCAAGGAAGCAAGAAAGGGAAGGAGGGAGGGAGGAAGGAAGKAAGGAGGAAGGGAGGAAAGGAAGAAGGGAGGGAGGGAGAGAGGGAGGGAGGGAAGGAGGGAGGAAATAAGCATGAAAATAAGCAAGAGTATAACATTCTAAAGGAGCTATGCATAGTACCAACGCCTCCCAGTGACAGAAAAGAATCAAAAAAACTTTGTCTTACCAATAACATTCAGTAAACTTTCGCTGCGATCTGTTCCAATGATATTGGTAGCAGTACACTGTGCTTGTCCTGAGTCGCCTAGAACCACGCTCTTGATATCCAACACACCAATTGATTGATTGAAATAAATGCGTTCACTGTTAATCACAGGTCTTCTATTTATGCTCCAAGAATATACTGGTTTTGGGATTCCTGTGGCGGAGCATGATAATCTTATTCGTGAGCCCGCAAGCACCTTGAACGAAGTTCCAACATTAGCGGAATGCTTGGAGAGATCATCAACATCGCTGATCGCCTGAATAGAAGTCTTGATCTTGGGCTTCTGACCAGCTAAAACCAACAATAAATAAATAAATAATTAATTAATTAAAACCGTCAATCATCATTAATAACTGATTTTCGGATTACACTGTATGGGCAAACCACGATCAAACGTTTGCGCATGGGTGTCGCCTTTCAAAAACCACAAGACCTGTCTTTGGTAATGCACGTGCACTAATATTTTATGAGAAATAACGGCACAATATTTGACAGTAATATATGAACCAATCACAGTGCGCAAAATACAGGGAGCTAAATCAGCGAAATTATTTAATGGGAATGGGAGACGGGYCATACAAAATTTGCTTTTCTGTAGACTTGGACTTTCTCTATTTCACAGAGTTAATTGATTTTGGCTCCCTTTGGTAATGGCGTCGTACTGACTTTACCTATAACTGTGATAACAGACGTCTTTGAGTCTCTTCCAAAGTAGTTTCTGGCTTCACAAGTGATTGTCCCTGAGTCAGATCTCTTTATATTCCTTGCCATCAACACATTACCAGTGATACTCAAACCCCTTTGGTTTCTTTTCCAAGATAATGTAGGAGTTGGGATCCCTTTGGCGTCGCACATTATTGCTATACTATTCCCTTCAAGAACCTTCAGGTTGCTCCCTATGCGGATTCTGACAGATCCTCGTCTGAGGTATTCTACGTCACCAGGCGTGGTGGTGATGTTTGGACTCTGGGGAGCTGAAAAAACGACGAAGAATAAGAAAAGCTTGCAATATAGTTGGAAATGAAATATTAATGGATGAATGAATAAATAAATGGAATGAATGAGTATTAGTTTGATAAATAACTTTCAAATTTTTGGGATATATGAAAATATGAACAAACGATAAAGGAATGAGGGAGAAAAAGAGACAGACAAGGAGGACATGAAGGGGAGGAAAAGAGAGAGAAATAATAGAAAAATCAAAAACAGCCGTACTATTAGCCATTTCGAGGTTGAGGAAAAAACTGGGTCGAGTTGGCATTGCATTGCATTGTGGAGCTGTTTGAGGGGACGAAGTAGACGCCATCTTGGAAACATGTCCCTAAAATGGCCCCACGATCAACCTCAGAATAACCAATATCCTCTAACGTCATCTTACCCAGAAATGTAACATTTGAGCTTGCGTCTGCATTTCCACCAGGGTTAGAAGCCAAGCAAGCATACGTCCCTGTATCTGATACCTCAGGATTTGCCAAGATAATCATTGATCCGTTGATAAAGAAAGGAAACTGAGGTGCTAGTGAGATGTCGTTCTTATTCCATCGAATTCTAGGATCAGGGAAACCAGTAGAAAGGCATTGTATGGCGACTCTCGTTCCCTTGAATGTTGTTAAAGTGTCACCGATATTAATCTTTATTGGCTTTCTTGTGGGGTCTAGTTTAAAGTAGACCTTATTGGAAGCTGATATTTTGGGTGCCTTGGGACCTTGAAAAACATTTGCATACATTAGTTAAAGGATAGAGGAACCGGTTGATGGAGTGAAGGATATAAAAATGGATTTGAAGAGATGGATGGATGGATGGATGAAGGGATGGGTGGATAAAGGGTTGAAAAGATGGGTGGATGGAGGGAGGGGTGGATGGGTGGAGGGCGGGATGGTTGGGTGGAGGGCTGGATGGAGTGATGGATGGATGGATGGATGGATGGATGGATGGATGGATGGATGGATGGATGGATGGATGGATGGATGGATAGATGGATAGATTAATAGAGGGATGGAAGGAGGGTTGCATGGAGGGGGAAGGAAGGGATAGACAGACAGATGAATGGTTTGGTAGGTGGTTAGGTTGGTGGTTCAAAAGAAAAGAGGGGGTGTAGAGATAAACAGATAGGTTAAATGTAGGATGGATGCACAGCATGGATTTGGATAGAAGGATGAGTAAATGGAAAAAGAACAATAACAAATCCAGCACAAATCACAACTTCTTACCAACTACAATAGCATAAGAGAAGGCATGATCTTCTCCAGCGATATTCTTAGACTCACAAGTGTATGCCCCAGTCTCTTCTTTCATCATCTCGATCACGGTCAACGCCCCAGTTTCAGGGTCAACAATCAACGTTTCTGACCTGACAACGGGTTTGTTATTAAAATACCAGGAAACCTTGGGTGTTGGTAACCCTGTGGTGGGACACTGAAGAACAAGGTTCTTTCCCTCAAGGATTGTTATATTGCTACCAATAATGACGCCAAAGGAAAGTTTGTTTTCTGAAGCGATGATGCTTTGGTTTGATGGGAAGATCTTTGGCTTTTCTGTTTTGGGTTGTGGATCTGCAAAAAAAAAAACAAGATTATCAAGAAACTTGATCCAAAGATAAGTACTAAGTTTATGGTATTTTCGTATGACTTTAAAAAGCGTGCGTAACGGCAGATCGTACCGTAATCGTGACGGTGTCGTGTTCAAGCACTATCATTGGATAACCAGTCCTATGGAGCATTGTGATTGGTTTCAAGAATATTATAAATTATTTTAAAAGCAGTGCGCCATGCCGTTTAATACATACGAAATTTACTCATGTCAAACGTCAAAGTTCACATGAGCTGAACCCGAAATCAAAGACGACGGCCTTTTATCCATTCTTTCCATTAGGTTAGGCTCAAGTGAAGTTTAAGATTTGTCCTGAGTCTCAGAACAGATAGAATGTTTTGAGTGATTTTACTTGAAAAAATAGTAAGTATGTGGTATGAGTACAGTGCGGCAACACGTTTGCCGTTTCGTTTCCACCCACCTTCACCACAGATATACCATCTAACAGTCAAATACCTTGTACAGTTATAACAGAGCTAGCACTGCGCGTTCCAGCCAGATTAGACGCAGTGCACTGATACGTCCCAGTGTCTGTTTTTCTTGCTTTACTGATGATAAACTGGGGTCCATTTTGTCGTAGGAGCACGCCGTTTCTTAGCCATGTGATCTTTGGCATCGGTAAGCCATTGGCCTGGCATTTTAAGGTGATATTGCTGTCTATAATGGCTATTATCTTCGTACCTATCGTCAGGGTTATGTTCTGCTTGGTGAGGTAATTAAGCTGGCCGGTGAAAGTGAAAATCGTGGGAATCTTTGGTTCTGGGAATAAACAAAGAGGATTACTAAAAAACTAAAATTATTAATAAAAGCTCTTGATTTGCTCATTTAATAACAATAGCCGCAGCTTCATAAGCAATAGCTATGTACCTATAGATAGCTTGGATTATAGCATAAAACGAGACGAGGACAACACTTCAGAACTATTTCAAAGAAATAGTGAAAGCATATGAAATCAAGTCCTACAAATTTTATCGAACCCTAAAACAACATCTGCGCTGATCAAAGTCAGGGCACAACTAACTCACAGATCGAATATTATTTTAGTCTTCCAAGTTTTACGAATGGGAGAAAAACCGAGGAAAAAACCCTCGAATATCATCAAGGGATGTGATGTTGAGATCAGGAATCGAGCTCGTCYTCGTGACCCCAGACCATTGATTTCAAATGAATTAGTACCGGTCTGTCCTGGTTATATAAAGTAAGAAAATATAGCTTAGCTTTAATTAGGTTTACCTGTGAACCTTATTTTTGAAACGGCATAGTCTCTTCCTAAGTAATTAGCAGCATTACACCTGTATTCCAGCGAATCTGCCACGATGGATGGGAATCGTTGAGTACCAATAACCAAAACATTTGATTTCGGTATCATATACTTTCCTCCAGACGAAAGTCTCCTGCGGCCCGCAGACCACGTGACGGAAGGTTCAGGTAAACCAGACACGGGACAGTTGATTGTGACTTCTGTACCGGTAAGAACCTCGGCGTTGTCTCCGATAGTGATGACGCGCGGGTCGCGGTTGTCGAGAGTTCTTGTCCAACCGATTGATCCTACTAGTTTGGTGGACTCGATGACGGGTTTAGATGGTGCTAAAAGGATGAAAAACAACAGTTATTAGGAAAGCTTCCGTAAACGATGTGTCTTGCTTGTCAGTCCTTTCGTCATGGGAACTTAGTTTCTTGATCGCTTGGATACTTGCCAATAAAAGTACAGTTAAGACTGAATGAAGTGATCAATAAGWTATACAAGATTGCGTACTATGACCGTGACTGCATGGATAAAAATTCGTATGAGCATCAATTTCGAGCGATGTCATTGTGTCGAGGAATGTAGGCAAATCCGTGTCGTAATCGTGTCGTGAAAGCATGTAGAAAAATTCTTTTCGTGTGTACATCTATTACGAGCGATGTGATTGGGTCAAGAAATGCAGTCAAATCCGTGCCGTGACCGTGTCGTGAAAGCAGAATCCCCTCCAAAACTATTCCTTACGTACCTTTTACAACAACGACCGACGACGCAGCAACAGACCCACCAGCGTTTGACGCAACACATTCATACTTCCCGCTAAAATCTGTGCTTAATCTAGTATCAATAGCGATGCCGTGATGTGTCAGGTTTTGGCGGAAAGGAGTGAAACCTCTACCAGGTCGAAGTGTGACAGTGTCTTTTGTCCATGCARTAGTCGGTGACGGGAACCCAACCACGTGACATAGCAGCCCGAGGATCGTGCCTTTAATGATCGTGATGGATTTTCCAATGCTGGCTGCAATTTTCTGATTTCTTTYGAAATTGGTGACGCTTCCTTCGGAGGACAATATTACGGGTTTCTCCAAGGCTGAAAGTCAATAAACGAGATCGAATGGTTAAAAGAACTAAATTAGCATCGACCTCACCAGGAACAAAATCATCGTAGCAAAAGACATCATCGTAAGCATCATCATCATCAACAGCATCTTATCAGTATCATCGATCGTCAACAAAGTCATCTCCATGATACAGATCATCAACTGCATCTTATCATATCATTGTCAACAAAGTCATCTCCATAATCGGATCATCAACAGCATCTTATCATATCATTGTCAACAAAGTCATCTCCATGATACAGATCATC